AAAAAAAAAAAAAAGGATTGCAAACGAGACGACTGTGGTCAAATTCTGTGGTGAACTTACGGCACTGAAATGGTGTGACAAGAAGGAGGTGACAGTGTTGACAACATGCCACAATGATACTGTGATCGAAGTAGACAACAGAAATGGAAAGAACACCAAGAAGACATGTGTCATTGAGGATTATAACGAGAACATGGGAGCGGTGGGCTCGGCTGATCAGACGCTCACTTTTTAGCCAACTGCATGCAAAAGGCACAAGTTTTGGTATAAGAAATTCTTTCACCACCTTTTAAACATTACAGTGCTGAACTCCTACATCCTGTTCAAGGACAATCCTGAGCGCATGATCAGCCACGTAAACGTCAGACTGACGTTGACTGAAAGAATGCTGGAAAAGAAAGCATCACAAGCCGGGGCAGCAATGTACTCGAGGTTGACCGAGCTCTGATATCACACCTCTTCACCTGTCTGGAACACATTTCCCCAAGAGCACACCACCCACATCAAGGAAACAGAATCCAACTGGTCGCCGCAAAGTTTGCTGCTCGCACAACAAGAACGGCAAGAACATCCAGAGAGAAATGCGATATTTTTGTGCAGAATGTGATGTTCTGCTTTGTGTTGTTCTATGCTTTGAAATTTACCACACACACAAAAATTATTATTATGATTAATATTTTATTTATTTTTTTTAGGCACGGCGATCCTTGGTTGACCTTACACATTGCAGGGACCTTGTAAGCTTACAATCCCTTATTTTTTTAGTTTTTACGCCTACAGCACCTGGTCTTCCTAGGTGGTCTCCCATCCAAGTACTAACCAGGCCTGACCCTGCTTAGCTTCTGAGATCAGATGGGATCGAGCTTGTTCAGGGAAGCATGGCCACAGACACAAAAATTATTAAATATTGATCATCATATACATTTCTGTTACATTAGGATTAGAGACAAGTTCTGTTTAGAAATAACTCCAAGAACAGTTTTTATATTTTATTTTCACATTGAAAACCGGTCAGATTTGCTTCAGCCTCAAAGAGCGGGTTTATGTAAAATTAAATTAATGCTAGCAGCGAGCTGCACTTTTTTTTCTAAACAGGAAATAGGTTAAACATTAAAAAAACAGCTTAGAAAAATGTAAGGCAAACAATAATCTTGGGGGAAAAATACCTACCTGCAACAAATAAGACAAACAAGGGTTAAGCAGCCTTACTATTAAAACGGGCATGCAAGACAGTGGTGGGGTCTGAGCTGAGTCTCCCATTTCCAGCTGAAAACAATTAAAGCCCAACAAACTCAGGAGCATTTGGCACCTCCCCCTTTCCTGCCTGAAGACACTGAGATAGAAGGGAACATTAGCACATTCATCTTAGCACATATGAACGAAGTGTGGCAAACAGGGCGGAGCCAAGCAAAAATCTGTTCGCTAGATTCCCGTGTCTCATTGTTTCTGGGTGACCATGCAGGAATTTGTTTGCCAGGTGTCTGCTCTTCCCCATCTGCCTATGAATTGCCTACCTCCTCCTCCCTGGTCTAAGATGATATATATACCCCATTTGGCCTCACTGTCTTAGAAACTTTCACGTTTCTGTGAATTCCCATGGGCATGTATTAAAATTTGATTTTCTCCTGTTTATCTGCTATATGTCTCATTTGAATTATTCGACTAGCCAGAAGAACTAAAGGAGATAGGGGAAAGTTTCCCCAGCAACATCAGAAAGAAATTCAAGAAGACCTCAAAAGATGTGGCGATAATTCACAGGCGATAAACGTCCGATTCTTATGAAATTTTAAGATTGCCAATCTTAATAATAAAAAAGTGCAGATTAAAAGAACCAAAGGCTATTCTTCAGCCACCAAATGGACACAGATTATCACAAAACTGCTGACACTTGATGTGGTTAAGGACTGAGAGACAAGTACTCAAACTCTATAAAAATGCTCTCGTGGAGAGCACTTCCGTAATATGCCTTAAAAATATTCACTTAGTCTTTGTCCCGGTAATTCCATTTCAGAGAATCTATTTCAGAAAATTCTCAGAACTGTAAAGATATTGATGTAGAAAATGTTCGTTGTAGCCCCATCGAAAATGGGGGGTAAATGTAAGTAAGAGGGAGGAGAGAAAAACACCCCTCAGAATGTGTGCATGTGTGCATGTGTCCAGGTAAACCTGGAGAAGGGAAGAACAGGGACCTGGTTATCACTGCCAATGCTGGAAGGCGGGGATGAGGAGGGAGGTTATTTGCTTTTTCCTTACATGCCTTTGCATTGTTTAACTTGCCATAATTAACATGGTATATTTGCTTTTGTAATTAAAAAATGCTCCAGGAGGTAAGAAAATTCCCCCATAGAAACACGATGAAAACATGCCAAATGAAATCTGATCCCCATGTATCTTATCTACAGGACCCTAATAAAAATAACTTAAAACAGTCATTAGGTCTCCTCGGCCCCACCCCAGCCAACTCGGACCAGGTGGTTTCTATAGCGATGAATAGCGGTGCCAGTACCCAGTGGCTTACAGGTATGACAGCAGACTACCAGAAAGTCAAAAGGAATTTTTTTTAATCCCCAAAGTAAAAGCACAACACTCACCATTTAATCTATGTCTAAAAGCCAGAGGGCATCAAGAGAAGAGATTGTGGCATCCCTATCTGCTGTCACTGCTACATCCTGGCCACACTGATACCCCTGAGTTAATATGCTATAAATTGGGCCCACGTGAAATATCGTTTTCATGCAAACTGTTCACACAGAAAAAAATCAGATAATTAAGCATAACTAGAACAAAGCTTAGCCTGGCTACTTAAGAAAGCCATGCAGACATATATCTAAAATTATTACCTAATTTTAGACATGTTACCTAATTTTAGGTAATATTTCCCACCATTTAAACCAGTAAATATAAAATATAAACCCTAGCGCTGCCTAAGCTGTGGGCATGTACATTACACGTGTGTAACTTTCACAAACATGTAAGCTTTAGATAATAGAACGTCAAAGAAGAGACCTTTAGGGCTATCATGCCTAACTCTCATTTCTCAGCTAAAGAAGAATGCCTCACAGCTATCAGAGCAGAGCTATGATACTCCGATAATGGTATTTGCTCTTCTACATGAACACATTCTGTAAGAACATAATTCACAAAGGGCTTTCACAGCCATTATTTGCCCTTCACCAAAGCCAGATGTTTCACAGATGAGACAACTGAGGCTCAAAGAGTCCGGATGATTTGCCTACCTCACCTGGCTGGTAGCTCAAAATGCTGATGCCCATAAATACCCTTCGAACCACCCAGCGCTGTTACCTAAACCCTTCATGACAGCCTCGATGTTGGTTACCCCTCTTCAAGCACATAGCTTGACGTGCACCAGGCACTCAAAAACTAAATGCATGAGTGGATACCCAACAACTAGAGCAAAGCCAAGCAATGTGGTTGACCAATGATACACTACAGGTGTTTTAAGATGTTAAGCTGAAAGCCACATTAGATGAAAATGCAGAACTTCTGTGAGAAAGCCATAGCTCTAGATCTTAGAGACAGGTCTCCACCTGTTTGGCATCAGGTACCCAGAGCTGCCAACTGATGACCCTACCTCCAACCTCTTCCCACCTCTCCTCAGGCACCACCTCAGGAGCCTGCAGGGGCTCCTGTGGGGGTCCGGATCTCGCCTCCCCAGAATGTGCCACCTTCGCATGCAGATTATTTTGAGCTGAAAATAATTAAAGCCCAACAAGCTCAGGCAGAGTTTGGTACGTCCCCCTTTCCTGCCTAAAGTCATTCAGATAGAAAAACCTGCTTCAGGAAGGAAACTCTGGCATGTTTATTCACCTTAGCACATATATGAATGAAGTGTGGCAGACGGAAAGGAGCCAAGCAAAAATCTGTTCCTGTGTCCCATTGTTTCTGGGTGACCATGCAGGAATTTATTTGCAAGGTGTTTGCTCTTTCTCATCTACCTATGAATTGCCTGCCTCGCCCTCCTTGGTCCAAGATGACATATATACCTCATTTGGCCAGTCTTTGGAACTTTCATTTGTTTATGAATTCCCCATGCACACATGTTAAAATTTAAATTTGATTTTTTTCTGTTAATCTACTGTATGTCGTTTAAATTACTATACCAGCCAGAAGAACTGACCGGGTAAGGGAAAGCTTCCCCAACCCCAACACTGCTCTGCCCACCCACGCACCCACGCACGCACACACTGTCCACATTGCCAAAACCAAATTCTTGACCCTGGCTTTCAAGGCCCTATCAGCTGACCAAATCCAGCTTTCCCTGAATTACTCACTGACCCTGGCCTTTACTGGCCTCTTCCTCCCACCCCACAGAACCCTATCTCCTTCATGCTGCCAGATCTAGCCTTGCCTCATGTTGGCTCCTAGTGAATATTGGTCACTTTTCCCATTTCCCAGGTAAAAAGGGCAGGGTTTTTTAAGTGGATTTACATAACATTCATTTGAACCTATGTGATAACCAAGTTCATTAGAAACAGGCACAATCAACAGGGAGCCTCACCATCAGAAGCCTCTAATTTGGGTTCCCCAGTATAGAGGCAGGAGCTGCCTATGCAACCCATCCAGTCTGTTTTCTGGCCTGAGGGGCCTTGAGTTCCTGGGACTCTTCCTAAAATGGCCCCCAGGGAGGAACCCAGGTAAGCCTGGGCTCTGATGCCTGCCCGTCTTTCCTTCCCCACCTAGCCCCACCCCAGATCTGTCCTAGGAGCTGGCAGGGGTGGGGAAGACCAATGAAACTTCAGGTTCATTTTCAAGCAAGTCCCCTCTTCTCTCAGGGACCCAGTTTTTTCATATGTGAAAAAGGGCGAAGGGTGGCAAAACTGGATCAGAGGAAAATGTCAACAGAAATAACTTCCCAGTTGGAAAAGGTTTTCCCATAAGTTCTCATCAAGTATATCCAAAGCCCCTTCTTGCTGGGACACTGCAAACTGTCCTAACAAATATACCTTGGCCATCCCCCAGGTTGATGTTCACAGATTTACCTTGTTGCAACATCACGCTGTACGTACGTACGGAGGTCTCAGAGTTGCTGTAAGCAGTCAGCTCCCAGCGAGGGGACTGTAGTTGTTTGCAATTTTCCACCAGAATGAAGAGTGCTGCAAAGAACAATCCCGTATAAGCATTTATCTTTGTTCTGAGGTTATGTCTCATCATAGATTCCAAGAAACAGGTTTACTGGCTTAGAAGATATACAAATTTTAAATTCTGATACTTACTAGTTGAGAAACTTTACATGGTTCTCAAACTCTTTGTATTTAGGCTTTACCTGAGAAATATTTACAGTGCATAATCTTGACACATTACCAATCTAGCTCTACCTCCCAACTCTGCCTTTCCCCCACCCCTCCAAGAAATCTGGGGGAGGACTCCTGAAGCTGCTTCCAGGTTATCCAACTCCCAGGTGGCTCTGCTTAAGGCTAAGGGAGGAAGGAACTTCTCCCTTCCATTTGTCACAATGTACCACATCTAGCACAAGACTGGAGGAGCCCTAGCCCAGGGGGCTGCTGCTGGTGGTGAATTTACGAGGTCTCTGGGCTCCACCCCAGGTCCCCAGTGGCTTCCCTGAAATGAACATAGCCTGGCTCTCATGCACAAGGTGTCGCACCAAGTGCCAGGGACAGTTACATCCAGAGTCACCTGGCTGCATCCATTTTTCCTTCTGGGCGCCCCCCCTTCTGAAGGTCCCTGCCCCACACATGCTCTGTGATCCTAGTGACCAGGGTCCAGTGGTTTTACTCTTACCTGAGACTCCCCAAGTCTCTCTTTTTCTCTCAGATGGCTGTGGACCAAGCACCACTTCCTCAAGAAATTGTTTCGGGCTCCCACTCTGGGCCTCAGTTTCCCCATTTGTGAAATGAAGAGGCTTAGGCAATGGCACTGACACTTTAGGTGCTGCTGTGAGGAGAGCAGTATAGCGGACTAGGTTCTAAACGTTTGCAGGGAAGTCTGGCTTCGATGGGGAGTCCAGGTGTGCCTTAATGATCATTTAATCAACACTCTAATTGGCTTATGGCCTATTTGGAGGAAATTCTATTTTTGTTCTCAGAGTTCTCCATTGTTAAAGTGCAATTAAGACTAAAAGCCATTTCAAGGTTGATTTCCAATCTCAAGGGTCCTAGATATCTGGGACCAGAAGAGGAACTAGAGGCCCAGAAAAAGGCTTGCCCAGTATTATGCTCTTTGCTGGGCTGGCCAGGGTTTGCACAAAGAACCACCCCTCAACACCCCAAGGTCCTAGAGGGGTTGGTCAATAGATATTTCACAGTGATACAGAGAGCAAAGAGCAGAGAAGAGAGTGCTGGCAGGTTTGGGGAAGACCAAGGGAAACGTCTTGGAGTTGGGTGCTGTGGGCAGAGTTAAAAGAAACCAGCCAGGAGAGCTGGGAGCTTCTAGACTGGTAGTCTGTGTCCTCTAGGGGCCTGTCTCAATGGAGTAAGGACAAAGCCTCCGCTGTTGATCCATTTGGGTTAAATGACACTGACTGTGTGACAAGAGCCTCTCTGCAGCTCATGGGCAAACCAGAGTCGGATATATGACAGCACCTACCCCATAACCCGGCATAGACCGGATGCACCCGAAGTGCCTTGCTGAGCGTCTTGTGTTAAAAGTACTTCAGCATTACCTCCTCTTACTTCTGACCGGCCACTGGTGTGGCAGACCCTGGGTAGCCTTCCTACCGGCCTCTGTGGGCAGAACAAGCATCGCACTAAGAGCCCAGTACTTACCAGCTAGGGGTAAACCCCTGGACTAACTGGGCCTCAGTTTCCTCTCAGTACAATAGGTACAATCATACCGGTGGTGGGAGGTCCTGGTGGAGTGAGCGGACTTAAAAACATCAGGCTTTCCATTATTTCTCCTCCAGGAAAAGACCTCCATCCCCAGCGTGGAGCACACAGTAGGCGCTCCGGAAATGCTTTCCGAAGGGAGGTACTGGCCACTTCCTGCCCCCAAGCGAACTATTCGGAGTCTGGGTTCCCACCATTGCTCTTATTGCTCTT